TTCATGTTCAGGCCTCAATTAAACTCTGAACTTCCACTGTTATTACTTAATTGACTTGGTTATATTTCATGTCAGCATTTCAAAATGACCTTCCTTTTAAAAAATAAAAATTACCTGATAGGGAAGCATTGTGGCAGCCATCCCACACTGTCTTTATGTATGGTTGGGCCTAGAATTTACTCAATTTATCTACCACTAGGGTACCTCTCAACATCCTTGCTTATGACATGAGACAGCTCCAAGTAAATGCAAGTGGTGAGGGAAAAGAGATGAAACACGAAATCTATCTGCTACCATGACTATTATTAAGATGCCAACTAAATCCACTGATATCCACTTTAATTCTAATCAGGGAGTTAATCTTAAACACCTTGCATATCATGATTAAATGCTGTCAAGTTATGCTTCTTTGAAAGCAGGATTATGTGCACCTTTCCCTTCCATTACAAGTGCCTCCAAAGGTTTAGTTGTGCCAGTTAACTAGATGGAAATGTAAATCCCTTTACTTGTACATGAGACAACAATCAGAACAAGTTGGATTTCTTTAACTAATGAGTGGGATTTTATATAAAGTAGGTATGACGCCAAGATGGAACTCTGCTAGACTGAAGCAAATTAAAGCATCAAATGAGTCTTTCCCCTCCCCCTGCATTGTGGAAAAGTTTTAAAAGTCTTTTTGAAGTACTTTGATCAAGCTTTGAAATCATTTTAGTGGATGACTATTGTATGAAAACTGTAATTTATAGTTCTTGACCTAAGCAGCTCTTTGTCTCACAGCTATGTTCAAAACAATAGCAGGAAAGTGAAAAACACAAGGGGAACCCAAGCTGTTCTGGTTATTATTTAATTCATAATTCCATCTTCCTTAATCTTTGCAATCCAGGCATGTTCTTAATAAAACATCTTCAGACCATTTTTACTATATATAGGAAGGTTAGTTTGGCATAATACAATTAGAGGGTCTGAACTCTGTCACTGGGACCTTTCCTTAACCCGAGGGTGACCTGCCAGGCAGGTCCAGAGAGGATCTCGCTATAAATGGTGACAGTGCAGGCAAACTCCTATTGTTTGCCTTTTAATTTCCTCTCTAGTTAAGCTGGCTTTGTTCCTTGACCCTAACTGAGAAGGTGCCAACGGGGAGATTTTCACCTCCCATCCTATTCACAAAATAGTTATAGTTAGGAGGCAATCTGCTCCCAGCAGATCACACGGAAAATGGCAAGCTTCTTTCAAGATGAACGAGCTAGGCCGTGATTCTCTAATTGAATCACAGAGACATTTTACTATTTTAATTAGTAATTTTAATCAGCTAAACATCACCATTCAGCCTGAAAATATTAGTAAACCTCACATGTTCTTTGGACTCTTTTTGCCAAAATAGTTATGGACAGACTAAACCTCAGGCGCTCTTTGACCCTGTAAATATCTTAGCTACAGGTTTTATGATCTTCAGGTGCCACAGGTGCCTGTGAACACTGGGTACACGGAGGAGCAGTCGGTGTGCTTTTCCCCGAGGGTTTAGGCCAATTGTTCTTCCCCACCCTGGACTCTGAAAATACATGGATCAAGATTCAGATGGGCTGCATTTCAGTCCTGGGATCATCTTCCAGAGAGAAAAAGAACCAAGGGATAGTGTTGTTGTTGATGTTCAGTGGCTCAGTCGTGTCTGACTTTTGCGACCCCATGAATCACAGCACGCCAGGCTTCCCGGAGTTTGCTCAACCTCATGTCCATTGAGTCAGTGATGCCATCCAACCTCTCATCCTCTGTCGTTCCCTTCTCTCTTGCCTTCAATCTTTCCCAGCACCAGGGTCCTCTCCAATGAGTTGTAGCGAGGAAGTGCCGAATGTGTCCACGTGGGAAGAAACTGCCAAGGCTGGACAAGGGGAGATGACAGGGGAGAGGAAGGGATTGGAGGCCAGCACGTGGAAGATTTCATTCAACTGAAACTGCAGGTCTGTAAAGGGGGTGTGTGGGGGTGGGGGAGCTGGTGAGAAAGTGCAGACATCTCGGGTATCTTGGCTCCAGAGAGGAAAGGAAACACTGGCTGTACCTCCTCAGGGAGGGGCGAGTGAATTAACTGCTCCCTTGGGCGCTGTGCCTTAACTAGTGAGGCCCATGGGGCCCACTTAGTGGATGACCTCACCCAGGGTGCTCAGCAATCCCCAGGCAGCTTCAAGGAGTGAGTGCACCCCCTCAAAGACCTGACAACTTATCATCTTTTTCCAGAGTGGAATTAAGCCTTGCCAATAGTGAGCAGCTACACACACCTATGCTTAAAGGAAAATGATGTCCCCTGGGGAGCCAGTTTTCTGCTCTGCACCGGAGCCTCCCTTTTATATATGATTTAGGAGTGTTTAGAAGAGTTAACAGACACCTCGCCCAAAGCAAATTAAGAAAAAAAAAAGAAGTCTCATTGTTTTTTGTTTGTTTGGGGTAGAAATGGGGCGGGACCAAGTCTGTGAAATAGCCTGAAGTATCGGCGCTGGATCAGCTTAGCTCTGAACTCATCCCTCGGAGAGCTTCGAACAAACACGGTCTCTTGTTTGTTTGTCAGAGCAGACGCTTGGCAAGTCTACATATGCCAGAGAGAACATCATTGAGTTTTATGTTTGTACACACACTCCTGCTTTCTGACTTGGCTTAACTCATCAGCATGGTTTGCAGAGATCTACATAAAGTGGGATTTGACTTTAACGTTACTGTTCTAATGACGAGAGCAAAAAAAAAATATATCACTGTATGTCTGCTCTTTAGGGGTGATGTTTATACTGTCTAAGTTAAAAAAAAACACAAACAAGTAAACAAATAACACACATAGAAATATTAATAGCACAGATAAGTATTTCTTACATAAAAGGCTTCTAGTTTAGGAACATCAGTCCCCCCAACACCACTCCTCCGTAATACATATTATAATCACATTAGTTTTTATGTTGTATAAAGCTTAGTTTTAAATAACTTTGTAACTTTATCATGGTATGTACAGTCTACTGCTGGTTTCTTTCCCACTTTTCAGGGCCAGATTTTAAAATCTCATGCATAACAAAAAGGTGGTGCCTTTGCCAAAGAACACTGGTACCTTCTAACATATTATGTCAGGGTGCCAGGTAGGAGCGAGCACCTCTTTCATTTTTTAAATTTATTTGTGCCCCTTCATCATAAATTTGTTTAATGTAAAATAAACAAATCTTTGATGAGGGTTTAACAAGGTTTTCAACATTTGTGAAGATCCATGTATAATTTACTCCTAAAGAAGAAAAATCAGTTTAAAGCATGCCATGAAAACTGCTTTTAACAACCGTTTGGTCTAACAGTGTGTGTGTGAGTGTGTGTGTGAGTGTGTGTGTGTATGAGTGTGTGTGTGAGTCTGTGTGTGTGTGTGCGCGTGTGTGTGTGTGAGATGTATCAAGACAACAGTGGTTCCCAAGTGTGAGTGTGTGTGGTGTGTATCAAGAACAACAGCAGTGGTTCCCAATCAATCTATTTTACTCACAAAACCTGCATCGTGAATTTTACACTGAAGTACAAGTTTGTCTGATAATACCATACCATTTCATCTTCTCCCTCTTTCTTGTTTAATGCAACCTACCACAGAGCTAAAATCCATGCCTGAACCCGACATGTTTGTGTTCTTCAAAAGGAAACACAATAGGCAGACGTCTGCATACCCTCTTAGGTGCAAAATGAACAAAGTACAGACAGTACAGTTAGTCTTTTGAAAGAACCAAGCAATGCATATAACTTGAGGGTGTTTGTAAAAGCTACTTTTTTACTAATATTTCCAAACTCACTTAACATTATAAAGAATATTATTTTTTGTCAACATGGGGGAAAATTTTACTAAATACATTTTTGGGTATGGATTAATTTTTTACCTTTCTAAAACATAGGTTTATAATGATGTTTTCCTTCAGATTGAAATTTGGTTTGCAGTATAAAAAGTGAATAAATGAAAGTGAACAAATACAAAACTTCTTTTATTTTGCTAACCTGAAAATTGCTCTAGGTTTATTTTTGGTACACTTAATTCATTCAAAGCTGAACGTCCCTAATGCCTAAATTATTTGAGTGTTATATAATTATGTGGTATAAATGGAGATATAAAGCAGGGTAAAGAATGCACTTTTGAAAAATTTTACTCATAAAAATACCAACTACCATGCATACCTACAGACAATTAGTCGTGTTTAAAAATAAACTCTTGTCAAGGCTGGCCCCGAGCTTCAGTCGTCTGCCCTCAGCCCCCAGTCCAAAAGAGAAGCGTGGTTTCCAGACACAACATAACTAATGCTTTTAAATGAGATAACTGGAAAATGTTTGGTGTTCAAACAAGTAATATAAAAAGAAGAAATTCTCATCAAATATATTTTTTTCAGCTTGGCTTACTGCCATAGAAGTCAGGAAACCATAAAGACTGGGCAAAACAAACTCAGGCTCCCAGCAAGATCAGCCCTTGCAGGTGGGCGAGAAAATCTAGTTGTAGCCTTCATGACTTTGGCTTTGCTAGGACCGTGAGAGGTTATTACATGACGGTAATGCAACCCTGGGTATCTGTAACTGTACATGAAGAGAAATGGGGAGGGAGACAGAATGAATGCAGGCTTAGCCAAAAATAAGAGGGCGATTCGGTAACTGGGCGGAGAATTGAAAAATCACACCTTTCAGTCTCCACATTTTTTCTTTTGTTCAGTATATAAGGAGAAACCATCCGGAAGGAAGGAAGATTATGACTATCTATAAACTAACTGTTTGACGGAGACAGAAATGCTGATAATGAGTGGGTTGTGTCTGTAGTTCTTGGCTGTTCCCATGAGCAAGGGATGAAGGAAAACAGAAACTCTTGATATGTTTGTCTAAAAAGGTAGTGGTGTGACCACGGGCAGCGAGAGTTCAGCTGAAGTTCAGGGCAGATGTTGCCAGGAGTTTACGCTGCAGGAAAGTAAAATTGCTTCCGGATTCACCTTTTCCCCCCAGCTTCTCTTCCAGGATCATCAGGGTCACGCAACACTGTGGCACAAGGTGACGATGTCAGCGGGGAAGCAGGCATGCAGCAGGATGCCCCTCTCCCGGTTACAGTCCAGCTCCTGGATAAACCCGTACCAGTAGATGACTAAGCCTGGCCCAAACCTGCAAAAACACGAGAAAACAACACACACAGGTAGTACTGACATAATTCCAGAAAAAGGTAATCACTGATGCATGGATAAGATGACTACATGACTTTACACAGTTTTTGTTTTGTTCACTATGATTCTGACTGAAAGTAGCTGAACTTAGACCCAAAAGTTTATTGAATGCAAATGTTACCACCTTGGGCGGATTTGTTACCTTTTTTTCAAGGAACCTGAACTAATTCACTATCCTGATTTCCTCTCAGTCAGGAGTTATGCTGACTTAGCTGATGAAGGATAAAATAGAGATGCAGTAGCATTGTGCTGGGGAGCACCAGGCTTGGGCTTTTAGCCTTTTAACATCCACAGGCACAGCTGAGGGCAGCTTCCCTGGTGGCTCAGATGGTAAAGAATCTGCCTGCAATGCAAGAGACCGGAGTTTGATCCCTGGGTCAGGAAGATCCCCTGCAGAAGGGAATGGCAACCACTCTAGTATTCTTGCCTGGAGGGTTGCTTCCATGTACAGAGACGCCTGGTGGGTTACAGTCCTTGGGATCCCGAAGAGTTGGACATGACTGAACGATTAACACTTTCACACTCAGAGGCACCCTTTTGAAGGTTAAACTTACCTATTTTCAATTAAGTGGAAAAAAAAAGTTTGAAAAGTACTTTTAAAAAACGAAATGGCTCAAAGTCTTCTTACAATATACCAATAGGGCCAGAAGTTCCTTCTGCCCTATTCTTTCAAGTCTAAAACAAAACAAAACAAAAATACACACACACACATAGGAGAACTGGGATCCTACAAAGAAATCTCTTGACCTTCCTCTCTCTGCATTACAATTTCTCTTAAGGGTGAACATGGCATGAAATTTGGCATAGGTTCTTATCATGAAAACAAGGAATAATGCCACGTAGAGTTGAGAAAAAGTCTTGACAGATGCAGGCTTAAAACCTCAGTATTTCTAAATAATGCTTCCGAATTATCTCCAATTTAGTTAGCACACTCAGGAAGTAGTCAGCAGGAAGTTGAGACCTCTAGGTTGGGTTCATAAAGATGTAATTGTTATCAATCACCATGCACATAGAGATGTTTGGCACATCAGCTTCACGTTTTTCCTACCAAGAGTACTTAATTAAAGGGCAGCTTTACTTTTGGTGTCGTGTTGCAGGAATTTTACAGTGAAATCATAAATTATGAATGTTGGGTTAGTAAAAGGATGTCTAAAAACAGAACTGCTTTCTGTATTCTGACGTTACAGCGGGCTGAAGCGAGCTAGGCCAAAAGGCTTTTTCCTTCCATGATTTATTATATGCTGAAGTGTACTTGCCAAAACAAACAGTACAGGATGGGCTGTGAAATACTGTATGCATAGGAACAAGTTCAGCTGGATATCGTGGGATGGTTTATTTGGGGATTCATATCAGGAAGGCAGCCAAGCTGGATGCAAGATTACCTGAAACCTTTGCATCCTCGTTGTGCAGGGACAGAATCCTGAGATGGCGACTCTCAACAACTGAACATGTTTGGGGGGACACAGGAGCCATCTAGGATGTAATGCCTTGGAGTACCAGGCCCTGCAACATTTACCCTCAGGGCTGACTGCACGTGCTTTGGTTTCTCAATATCTCTGAAGAGTCTCCTTTGTGGTCAGAAGAATCGGGCACCTAAGGTGGAGGAACGCGCACTTCCCCCCCACCCCCGCTGCGCTTACATGCCCGTCAGGTGAAGCTCACACCTAAACAAGGTATTGCTTCCTTTTGAACCGAGGGTCTCTTGGTAACTCTCAGTCACAAACAACTGTCTGCAGTGGATACCACTTGGTATCTTGATTTCACAAAGAGCTCTGCGACTAGTGTCAAAGATGATCTTGGGTTCGTCAAAACAAGGCGGGCAACAGCAGGAAGATGTGTGGTTCTGGGGATCATGCCTGAGACGCCTCAAACCTCCCCATCAGTAAAGCAGCCCCGAGCCGCAGTCTGGAGAATCCTAATGTTAACCTCAACACGTTTCCCCTGTTTTACTACGCAGCCATTCTGGGAGCCGTGATGTTCTTTAGAAAGGTGCTCATATTTTTACAAAGGGAGGGAAAAAAAAAAAGGCAATCTAACCAGTCATGGAAAAGAACAAAAGAATATATAGAGGTCGTAAACAACAAGCCCAGTGTTTTAAAGATTTAATAAAACAAAAACACATATCACCAGCACCGACAGAGTGAGAGCAGCCTGCTCTTTACCTGAATCATAAGCCAAAGGACACGAGGCATGGCGGCTCTTTACGAAAACAGCAATTTCTAGGCAAGTCAGGCTGGGGAACACCTCGATGACCAAGAAAGCAGACTTGTGTTTCACTTGTGAGGCAACAGATGAAATCAGCAACCAGAAAATGTTTTGCAAGATTGTGAATCTGGATTGCTTCCATGTCCCAGCTATTGTAAACACTGCTGCAATGAACACTGGGGTACACATGTCTCCTTCAATTCTGGTTTCCTCAGGGTGTATGCCCAGCAGTGGGATTGCTGGGTCATAGGGCAGTTCTATTCCCAGTTTTTTAGGGAATCTCCATATTGTTCTCCATAGTGGCTGTACCAATTTGCACTCCCACCAAGAGTGTAAGAGGGTTCCCTTTTCTCCACACCGTCTCCAGCCTTTATTGTTTGTAGACTTTTTGATGATGGCCATTCTGAGTGGTATGAGATGACACCTCATTGTGGTTTTGATTTGCATTTCTCTGATAGAGTGATGTTGAGCATCTTTTCATCAGCAGATGAATGGATAAGGAAGTTGTGGTACATATACACAATGGAGTATTACTCAGCTATAACAAGGAGTGCATTTGAGTCAGTTCTAATGAGGCGGATGAACCTGGAGCCTATTATACAGAGTGAAATAAGTCAGAAAGAGAAAGACAAATACTGTATATTGAATATATATGGAATTTAGAAATATGGTACCAACGATCCTACATGCAGGGAAGCAAAGGAGACAAAGACATAAAGAACAGACTTTTGGACGCAGTGGGAGAAGGTGAGGGTGGAATGATTTGAAAGAATAGCACTGAAACATGTACATTACCATATGTAAAACAGGTGACCAGGGCAAGTTTGATGCACTGAGGCAGGGCACCCAAAGCCAGTGCTCTAGGACAACCCAGAGGGATGGGGTGGGGAGGGAGGTGGGAGGCACGGTTCAGGATGGGGGACACATGTATACCTGTGGCTAATTCATGCTGATATACAGCAAAACCAATCATAATACTGCAAAGTAACGGTCTTCCAATTAAATACATTAAACAAAAATAAATGGAAGACTGTGAATCTGAACGTTTCATGTAGTGGTTTGCTAGGAGGACTGTCTAAAGGTAGCAACACAGATATTTGAGCTACTTTTAGTATATATAGGAAATGACTCATATTAAGGCTCTACCACCTAAATCTTTGTTCCCTAGCTTCTGGGTGACATTATATTAACTTGCGTAATACTAGCTCTCTCGTGTGACTCAAAAGCTCTGACAGTATATCTTAATTAATTAAAAACAAGGAAATATAATAACTTCCCTTTGTAAATAGAGATTGGCAGATGAAGGCTTTCAAATTATGTAGTCTTTGAATGACAAAAATAATGGGGACCACAGATGGTGACAAGTTAGGAAATTTAATGAGAAAACAAGATCTGGCCTTGTTCCCAACACCTTGAGTGCATTTCTGATGTTTCTCCAATAGCTCAGGATCCAGACATTATCAGATGCTGGCAAGATAACCTTTCAGCAACTTATCCATTTATGAACAGGCTGACCATAGTAAGCAACCTTGTATGATCAATTCCTTGATTACTGGAACTTACAGAAGGGAGCATGTAGGCTGACAATTTGGAAAACCAAGCAACCCATCTCTAGTGTTTCCATCTGAAAAGGTGTAAAATGGAGAGAACGAAGACCTAGGAAATTTTTATGTCGGGCAAGTACTTGCTTAGGCACCTAGAGATTTCACCTTTTTTGATGTCTACTGGATAAGAATGACAAACACAACCTTTGTGACCAATAAAAATCAAAGAGACTATTAACAGAATTTAAAAGAAAATAGTCCCTGAATATGAGCAAATGTGCAAAGCAGAGGGTTAATCTGCTACTAGGACTGCAGCCCTCCCTACCAGGCTGGAGATACTGGGTAATGGGATGTGTATGGAGCTCCGAATTGACTGTGTAAACACATTTCAAGGTTGACTATAATTTGGAAGTTACTATTTTCATGGTCAAGTAATAAGATCAAAGCCTCCAAATGATTTTTAAAACTACTGTGGAGCATAGTGTGGAATGTGAGCGACTCTTGAACAAGTAATTTTGCCTGCAAATAAAATACTACCAAATTAGCAAAAATAACAAATACCTCTTGAATAAATGGGAGGTGAAAGTCAAGAGCCATGAAAGACCTCGAGGTTATGAAAATTAAAGCTCCTTACAAATAATGACAACTTTATAAATGCGTTTCTCTGGTTTCCTTCCATTTTAGAGTATTTAGAGAATTAAGTGGGAGACTGGAATGAAAACTGGGTACCTTTTGTAGGTTTTGTATATATGCATCTCTCAGAGGTTATATGCTTCACCATTCATCTCTCTGCTGTATTGTGACACTTTTGAGGGCAAAGACCATGTTTCACTTACATTTGTATCCTCTAGACCTAGCACAGTACCTGGTACACGACAGATACCCTTGGACAAGATGGAGAATGCAGTGTTAGTAATAACAGGATCAGACAGCGTTTGCACTGGTTACTGGATCAGTGGCCACCCAGACACAGGCGATGGAAGGGCTCAGCCATTGCCATGGTTTGGTAATTTTATTAGTGACCAGGAAGAGCACCCCAATGGCATATTTACAGGTCATAGTGCTAGTCATAATAATAGTTACAACAATGTTAATTATTAACAATTTCATAGCACTGACTATGTGACAAATACTGTTCTAGGCACTTTACACGTGTGGATCCATTTAATTCTCAGGTCAGTTCCATGAGGGA